TTCAAAGTCCATCCGCCGGTGCGCACCCCGCACAACAGCCTTCACAAGCTTCTCCACCCTTGTCCATGCCGTGGTGCACTCTCGCCCAGATCGCGGTAATGAACGCGTTCTGCAGTTTGCACTCGGTGCGAGTCTGCCATTATTGCATTGCTCGAGCTAAATAAATTATTCCACCCAGGCTTTTGTGCGCCTACACGTGTGCGCGAGGTGTTGCAAGTTGGTTGTCCCCAACAGTAGATAGAAGAGCAAAGCGCTCGTCGATCGGTGGAACATTCGCACCGACTGTGAAAATTGCTAATGTATTGTACGCGAAATAACGTGCGTTCATCGGGATTGTGAACAATTGTTCATGCTGATCTGTTACATACGGGGAAATGTTTAATTGAAAGATATCTGCGAGTGAAACGAAAGTTACAAACGAGAGGGAATTGTATCCACATGAAGCGAATTGGTAATTACATTTTTAAAAGTTAGAGTTGTGCACACGATATTTGAAATTATTTGTTTTCGATTTTGTATATTTATATGTATGACATTTAAGACATACGAAATAGTAAATGAATTATTTAAAAAATTATTGCATTTTGCAATATACAACTACATATTTTTTTAAAGCAACTGTGATATATTTTTTTACACCAATTAATTTAGATATTTCATTATTCTGTATATAAAAGTATATTATTAAGATACGATTATCAAAAAATTAATAGTTTACGAGACATTTTACATTTTATGTAAAAATATGCCAAAATAAAATATACAATAACCTTTAAATTATTGATTTTTCAATAGTTTTAACATAATACTTTTATGTGCAGAATAATTAGAGAAATCATATATTACATAAAAAAAACTAAAGATATAATTCCATTTTAAAAAGATGATAACCTTTATATAATTTAAAAAAATTAATTTTTTCTAAAATTAATTTTGTCATTATTTGCGCTCCTTCACCATACAACTTTTGTCATTTATTTTTACAATAAAAAATGAAAACGTTTTTTAAAAGAAAACTAAAATGGAGCACTTTGTTCATAATTATAGTATATTTAATTATGTATGTAGATACATATATATATTAGGTGTTGAAATTAATTCGTAGCGTTTTACAAGTGATGGGAAGTACTTTCATTAATGTATTTTTTAATGCTCATGTGAAATAAATAACATTCTTTCATTAAAAAACGCTACGAATTAATTCCAACACCTAATATTATGTATGACTATATAAATATATGTACCTATGTACATACATATACACTATATATATAGAGAGAGAGAGAGAGAGAGAGAGAGAGAGAGAGAGTTTACGTTGCGACGAAAATGTATAATAAAACGAATAAAATGTCATTCAATTAACGTGAATTTAAAATTCTGTCATTTCTATAGTAATTTTATTTTTATTTATGTTTATAAATTTATGTTTATAAATTTTGATGTTAAAAAAATAATTGTTTAAGCACGTAAGTTTAGTACGGTTTGTACATACGCAATATGTCTGTGATGGTATATATGAAGTATACAATAGCAGTATCGCGCACGTTACATAACTCAGCAAGATATTGGGTATACTCTATATTATCATAGTAAACCTCTGTTCCTCAACAGCCCTTATGATGACGTAATTATCTTTAGTAATTAAAGTACACATATACTTTAGGAGGTTATTGGCTCTTTAAAGACAAGCTGCAGAAAATTATGAAAATTTTAAGCAAACAGGCTTTTATTTTTCGATCGATGGATTATTATTATTCATTAACGACTCTGCATGTTTACAATAGATTAACCTAGTTAATATATTTCATTACAATGTAATCAAACATTAATTATTACTTTTGATATATACATGTATTATATATTGATATATACATATATTCTAATAGACTTTATTATTTACATTACCTATAATACATCAGTTATATTAACGCTCGACCATTGCTTATGCTCTCTTTCTTCTGTATATTTAATTATTTCATAAAGTATATGTATGAGCAAAATTTGTTACGTGAAATAAACAATTAATGTTAGCAGCGTCGACGGATTAATCCGTGTTGATGACCGTAGATTAATATTAAATATTCTGTATCATTTTGCCATCCGGCAAAATGCAGAAATTATAAAAGCGGGAGTATATACGGGAGATTCATCGATCTAGGAGTCCAGGAGTATCATTACAGAGTGGCAATATCCATTGGTCGGATACACGATCGATAGATAAAAGAAACTGTGATGGAATGGCTGCTGCTGCTGCTGCTGCTACTGCCTGTACTGTGACTATACTTTCCATGCGCGACAGAGAAGGGAACAGACAGCGGAGGGTAGTAAGTGGGCTAGTAAGTTTCACGATAACAGTTATAAATGACCCTCTCGAAGCACGGCGCCGCAGGACTCTCAACTACGTGCCAGACACTGGCCCCTGCCTAATACAGGCAACATCACACGGATATAGCCGTAAAAGGCACTAAACAAACATACGCTAAGTGCCCTGGCCCTTCGTACGTGTGTGTTTACGTACTCTTGATCGATAATCGTGCCCGTCGATCGCACGTTCCCGCCATGATCGGTCACCGCGACTTCGAGGAACGTCACTTTTTTTGTGACGTCGTCTTATAAGATCTCGGTCACAAATTTTCTCGACAACCGAGTTAATATTTCACACACGAATATCCGCTACTCGCGAAAAACTTTAATAAATTCTCTGATCAATCTGAAAATATTAGCGAAGGTCATCATTTTGTAATTTTTAACATTGTATTTATAACTAATATTCATATGTTAAAATTCCTCAGCAAAATTTACTTGAAATTTAATTGAAAAATATAATTTCAAATACTTATATTTGCATAATGAAAAATAATTTTGAAAAAATGTTTATATCTTTCGAGATACACCTTTTTATTCTTTTCGAGATATTTTTACATAACTAAAATTTCAAAATACTTTATTTAATACATTAATACAAATAATTGCGATATTGTAATAGTATTCTATTTTGTGTAAAATAATTTGTATTAAATTGTATATATTTTTTTTTACTAGAAAAGTATCTTCATAAACAAGTATCATAGAAAACTAATATTGGTCGAGTATATTTGTTAGGTAATATACTGTTAGTTAGTAAATTATGGTCAACGTTGGAGATAATGCAGAAATTAATGAGTGTACATGTATGCACGTATGCATGGTTATTTGTGGAAGAGAGGAAAAACTTTCCTTGCTTTCAACAATGGCGTAAGTAGATGAGAAAGTATCTGAGGCACTTAAGTATTTTTATCCTGTTCTAACATGTCCATTTTCTTTTCCCTTTGTCCTGCTTCTTCTTCTCAAAAGCACACAAGCCATATAAATTTATAGAAATTATCATCACAAAATTGCAATTTTAATAAACAAATATTATATACCTACCCAACATGAACATTGAGATAAATTTAAATAGTTTTGCAAGACTTTCTTTTGTCTATATAATATTAAACATAAGTATTAATAAACGTTGATCGGTCAGTTTTAGATAATATGGAAGTATCCTCTAGACAGCATGGCGTCCAAGGACACCACTACATTACGCACCACTCAAGATAGATGTTACGCCATAATTGCACCCTCCTTTGGAGAAAATACGGCACGTTATTCGGCGGTATTATGAACACAAATCTGCGTCGACCCTGCGGAATGTTAAGCGAAAGTCGCATCTCAACTCGAGGGATCCTCGTTTTCGAGGACGATTTGCCCCGCGGTTCCTTCGAATAGGGATTTCTCGACAGGTAGCTTTTAAGGAATTTATCCAGCCGCATATTAAACGACGCGAATCTTGATAAATCCAAATGGATTTTCCATGTCCGATTCACTTGGCATGTGACTTTCAGCGCGATTTAGCGATGTTACTCGATGCCAAAAATTGATTTATTTCAACTAATCGTCTGTCTGTGAACGTTTATGTTTTGTGGCATATTTATTAGAATTTAGTGCAAACAGTATGGTCGGGCTAACAGAAGTACGAAGAGAGAAATACAACCGCAAGGCACTTACTCCATATGCATCGGTATTTCATCATTAAGCTAGATTCATTTATCAAGAATGATCAATGTGAATATTAGTTTGGTTAGTGACTTATAACTAATATATACACACACACATATATATATATATATGTGTGTATATATTAGTTATGATGTAATAGATGAAGTAATAGATGATATGATGTAATAGATGAAGAATTTTGATAGATATGAAGTATCAAATGTATACATGTATATATATATATATATATATTTAATACTTCATACCTATCAAAATTCTTCATCTATTACATGATCAATATTTTGAAATCAGATTTTTAGCAAAATTCTTATTAAATGTCTCTATAATTAATTTTCGTTGAATATTACAAATCTTCCTAGAAAGTTTGAAACTAATGAAAAATATAATCTTAATAATAATTTGTTTATATTTTCAAAACTTAATTTTCATAAAACTTTTTTTAAATTTATTATAAAATTAATACTAAATTACACTGCCAATTCTTTTATTATTATTATTATTAATATATTATTACTTAATATTTATTCTTTTACAAAAATGTTCAGATAAATAAATGATGCTTTAAAATATTTTAATTAAAATTTCTAATATGTATATACTTAAATATTTGTCCAAAGAATATTAGTAAACTTCTTTGAAAGAAACTTATCCAAAAGCTTAAAGATTACTGTCATCTTTCATTCCACGAATCAATGTACAAAAGATTACACAAAAAATAGAAATATAAAATGATATTATTTTATCGAAGTCATCTTGCTGTAAATATATCATAAATAAAGCCCAACATCGATAGAAAAATAGCGATTGATGTAAATTCTTTTTCGCAAACTCATAGTATTGGAAATCGAACTCGCCAAAATTATGCGGGCTTCAATCCTTGGCATAAAAGCTCTCCCCCATCCTTTCTCTCTCTCTCTCCTCTCTCTTCCTCCCCCCTCCCCTCTCTCTCTCTTTCTCTCATTACAATGACCTGAATGCATTTCGGGCTCGCGATCTTCTCGATTTCCGCGTTTTCGTTTTCGTACAAAGAGCGCAGATGCAGGCAGGCGCGAACCACCCCTACATACCACTAGAATCAAGTCGCGCCCTGAACAGGCAGCGCGAGCGTCATGGCGGTGAGTTGGAATATCGATCGTGGACCAGTGGGATGCTGGCCGCCCGACGTTTCGCCGATCACGCGCTACTATTCAGTACACTAAGTGTTTTGTTATTCTGCCTTCTTGGCTTTTTTTATACCTCTTGTTTGTAAAATTATTGCCAAGGTACGTGTACTAAAGGAGAGCCTATTGCAGAGAGTACTCGCGAGTGTTCTACCTTTGCACGCATTTGTAAACAGCGCCGAAAATGCGGACAACGGTGTTCACAGTTTTGCTCAATATGTTCGGTATCGCTTACGGTAAGCTCGCTCGACTATTAACGATCTTGAGATAATAAATAGTCATAGAATAATCATAGAATAAAATACAATCACTTACTTGTTTGTTTCGTTAATTGTAATTATTAAAGTGACATAATGTGTATGAGACACAATGTGAGAAAATTTTTTCTACTTTTTTATGTATACAATATTATTATCATAAAATTTTATCATTGAGAAAAAAATCTCCGTGTTTAAATATACATTTTATATATTTTTTAAAATTATTATTAAATAAAAGAATATAATTTTTAATGCACACAAGCATAAATTTTAATTAAAATCGATTATTTTAGAGGAAATATTCTAAAATTCTTATTTCTTTAATAACATGTTAATTCTACTATAAAAACTGGAGTGTATTAACTATTGTATAATTATTTCTTTTTACAAAAGCATTCTATTGTCATTTCATTCTTTTCCTGTTCTTTTTTTGTTGTTGTATGTTTTTAAACTATATATGCTTCTATTATTTTTTTATTTTTATACAATACAAAAAAATTTTGTAATACAGACCTTGCTCAATTTATAAATAATATTCTGATCTATTATAAATAATGTACTGATTTATGTAATAATATTTTTTAAAACACTTATGATTAATTTTTTTATAATTTTGCAATAAATTAAACGATTATATTAATCACCAAAATAAAATACATAAATACATTTCACATTATTTCGTAATAGAATATAATTATAGAACAATCTGCAGTTTATTTCTGGCATAATAATATAAACCTAAGATACATTTACGTGTTCGATTTAAATAAATAACTCGATGTCAAATTTTATTTTTTATGAAATTACAATACAGTTTATTATTAATTTAATTTATTATTCTAATATAAATATTTCAAAAAATGAAAAAACAAATATTAAAACGGTTCATTGAAATATTAATAAATATTCTTTTAGGAGGAAACGTTTTCGAAGCGAATCCTGATACGAAGAGGCTCTATGACGATTTATTGTCCAATTATAACAGATTGATACGTCCTGTTGTTAATAATACAGAAACATTAACAGTTTGGTTGGGATTGAAGCTGTCACAATTAATAGAAATGGTATACAAATTGATTTAAATGTTATTCTAATATTTTGAAACTTAATATTACATTTTATTTATAATTTTGTTCTCTTTATTTTTTATATTATATTTTATATAAAATTATATATTACATGTAACATTCTATTGTATTTAAAGGATTTATAAAAGTTAAACTAATGCTTGACTTTTTTTTACAGAATCTAAAGAACCAAGTGATGACAACCAACGTCTGGGTAGAGCAGGTCAGTTATATATTAATTCGTTTCACTTTCGCAGTAGTACGGAGCGTTGTAGTCAGACAATCTGATCTCAATTCAGCAAACTGATCTCTATTCGTTTCTTGCAGAAATGGTTTGATTATAAATTACAATGGGAGCCACAAGAGTATGGTGGTATAGATATGTTATATGTGCCTTCCGAGAACATATGGCTTCCGGATATCGTTCTATACAACAAGTAAATTGCAAAAGATTTATTACAAATTGCAATCGAATAAAAATAAATAAAATCTTTATGCCACAAGGTTTTTGCAAATAAAAGAAAAATTTATTTTTCAAAATCGTCGAAATCCTATGAAAATTAAAGAAAAATATATATTTGATACATTAAAATATGAGGTACTGTAGAAAGCATTTTTCGAATTAATCTTTTTCTTCCTTTTGTTGTACAGCGCAGATGGAAATTATGAAGTAACATTAATGACAAAGGCTACTTTGAAATTCACTGGTGAGGTATTCTGGAAACCGCCAGCTATTTATAAATCGTCTTGTGAGATCAATGTGGAATACTTTCCGTTTGATGAGCAATCATGCATTATGAAATTTGGCTCATGGACTTATAATGGCGCTCAGGTTATAACAATGTATACTTGTATATACAAACAATATAAAATATCCCAAAACAATTGAATTTCTTTTTCTCAACCAAAGATTGTTTGACCAATCTTTATTTATCTAAGAGCAAGATTTTCTTCTTTAATGAAAATATAATATTGAAGCTCCAATTAATTATTAATGATATTTAATAGAAACTTTTTTATGAAGCAAGCAAGCTCGGAATAAAATAACAAAACATATTCTTTTAAATAATATTAAATAAAACTTACTTTATTAAAATTAAAATTAAATAATATTGCTAAACAACAAGGAAAATTTAAACATTGCGAAATATAAAAAAATTAAAATTAATTAAAATTCTAAATAAAAATTTTTATTAAAAAAAATTATAGTCTTATCTTAAATTTGTTTTTAAAATATCTTTTAATTATGATTTATTTTTGTTTAAAAATTTAAATAGATAATTAATATGTAGATTTATATAATACTAATACTAATTTTATTTCTATTTATAATTTTAAATTTTGTTTTTATAATGTAGAATATTTAACATTGTTAATCACTTTGCAAGCTTTTTTTTATAGCTTTAATTGATGTAACTTTAGTCTGACATAACTTGTGAAAATGTGTTTTTTTCTCGCAGGTAGATTTGAAGCATCTAAAGCAGGAGTCTGGTAACAATCTTGTTGCGATCGGTATAGATCTCACTGATTTTTATCTATCAGTAGAATGGGATATCCTAGAAGTTCCAGCAACACGTAACGAAGAATATTATCCATGCTGTACGGAACCTTATTCTGGTAAGATTTCATAAGATTTTAAACTTTATTTTCGGAAGAAAAATAAAATTTGTGCTTGTTCATTCTGGCTATTTTTTTATTAATGGTACAATTTAAAATTATAAATTGTCTCGAAGATAATTTAATTCAAATTATTGTAATTATCGTTTCAGATATCACATTCAATATTACGATGAGAAGAAAAACATTATTTTATACTGTCAATCTTATTATCCCCTGTGTCGGTATCACATTTTTAACGGTGCTGGTTTTTTATTTGCCCAGCGATTCCGGCGAAAAAGTAGGTAACATTATTTGAGCAGCTGTTAAAATTTGTACATAAAATTCATAAATTTTATCATAGGAAATTTCTTTACACTCGTAATATTATTAAAAATTTCGATCCACGCCAAATACCTCAATAATAAAAATAATTACAAATGCATCAATATAGAAATGATTTTATTATATTATTATATCTTAACCATCGAAATGTATTTATTATTGCTTCGCATGTACAGGTATCATTATGCTCTTCGATTCTCCTCTCATTGACGGTGTTCTTCTTGCTCTTAGCAGAGATTATTCCGCCAACATCGTTAGCTATACCTTTGCTCGGAAAATACCTATTGTTCACCATGATTTTAGTTACTTTGTCCATTTGGATCACTGTCTGCGTCTTAAATGTACACTTTCGGTAGGTCGTGATGTATTTTACATATTTTAGAAATATCAATTGATTTTGAATTCTGTCTCTTAAATACAAATCTATAACATGATCCATTCAAAATAAATGTCTCGCAAGTATTTATTTTTATAAATTTGTAAATGTGATTAAGAAAATTGAAAAATAAGATGTATTTAATTTATTAAGAATTAATATACTTCAGTTTGGGATAAAAATTTTATTTAAAACAAATAATTTTAGTAAAATACATGATTTTTTAATTTTTTAATCAGAATTAAGTTTTCTAATCCAAATTTAGTTTGACGATTTTATTGTTAAAAGAATAATTACGCAAATTAATATTCATTAATTACAATCCTTATAATGAATAAAATGTGATATCGAATTATTTTTCTCATAGATCTCCTTCTACGCATAATATGTCACCATGGGTAAGACAAATGTTTCTGAATTGGATGCCGAGAGTATTGATGATGCGTCGCACACCATATTCTACACCAGAATACGATGACACTTACATAGATAACGCATACACTAATGAAATAGATTACAGGTAATATCAACATTTTATTAAAGATATATTACGATGAGAAGAAAAACACTATTTTATACTGTCAATCTTATCTCAGATATTTATTTATCCTTTAACCCTGGAATTTTTTCCTAACAGTGTTAGTGACTATCCTTTGGAACTAAAGGGAAGCCCAGATGCATTCGAAAGTGTTACTTCAACATACAAAAGTATTAGAGATGATGATGCACGACATGTACCGCATGCGTCAGGTATTTCCCGTTATTTGTCAGAAACTTTTTTTTCTTTAATTTCTTTAATTCTTGAGCATATTCTCTCATAGCATTTATGCTGATATCTTTATGCTAATTTTTCGAAATAAAAAATCTTATTTATGAGAATTTAATTTGTTTACATAAGTGTATTACTACAATATATTTATAAAAATGAATACATGTATTATCAACATATATCTGCATTAATAAAAATATAATAAATCATAAATATAATAATTCAAACATCATAAATTTGTTGTGCATGTTGTTGAATTGAAAAGAAAAAAACATATTTTTATTAACTGTTTTTTAAACAATATTTTAATATGAATTAAATTAAACTTAATTTAAAATAAATTAAGATTAATATTATATAAAACATATATTGACTGTATTATTTCAGTTACTGACAGCGAAAATACAATACCAAAACATTTATCTCCAGATGTCATAGCAGCTCTCAAAGGTGTGCGTTTTATTGCTCAACATATAAAGGACGCAGATAAAGATAACGAGGTAAATTTTCCAATATCTGCTTTTCCAATATCTGCTTATATTTATCTTGCTTATATTTATACATTTTCTTGTAATATAGTAATTATTTGTCAAGTATATCATCTTAACGATATTAAATTTTATCACTTATGATAGAAATGTTTATCCATTCTCATAGGTCATAGAAGATTGGAAATTCGTAGCTATGGTTTTGGACAGATTCTTTCTTTGGATATTTACAATCGCGTGTATCGGTGGTACATTAGGTATAATAGGTCAAGCACCTAGTTTGTACGATACGCGCGTACCTGTGGACCAACAACTTTCTAGTATATCATTGCGCAAGCATATGTATCTACCGAACACGACTTTTGATGATTAAGTACCATAGGACGTATACAGTGATTTATGTGTAAAGAGTAATCACATGTTATGTCGTGCGTATTCCACTAAGACATGTTCGACACCTTTCTACCCGCAAAAAGTTATCTACACTTTTCCACATGATTCATTCACGAAAACTATTTTTCAATTTCTTTAAATACTTTATTTAAGTAAACGTGGTAGTTGTAATATACAATAGTCGTATGAATTTTTCTGCGCATTATATGTCAAAGTAGATTAATTTTTTCGAATATTAAAGGACTCCGTACAAAACTACGGGTTTTGAAATTGACTTAAACTCAGTATTATAATTTCAAGTTCACTGATCAAAAGTTTCCTTAGGAAAATCATAAAAAATGGACAGATTGTGCTGTAGCAGCATGTAAAAATTGCTTTTGATTTTTAAAAAAATTGGTAGTTTGGTAGTTATGATATTTGGAAGCAGGTATGCTAATATGCGTGCTCTAGATTCCAACATATATCGTCCTGATAAGAATGCGATTGTGTGCGAACGCAAGATCCACGCCTGAGGAATTTGGGCCGAGACAGTGACGATTGCTTGTCGCTAACGCCTGTGCCTGGGACCAAATCGTCTCCGTTCATTTCTTGAGTATGACCGTTGGTGTTGCTCGAGCCGTTCCAGAGACTGAGAGACGTTGATATTAAATGTCCTTAGTGTTGATCCGCTGTTGATCCGGTCGTCTGCGTTGCTCTGCGTTATTCGTCAGGTTGAAGGTGATACGATCCCTTGATTGATCGGGTGCCCCGTGGTATTTGGGGGGGTGGGGGGGGGACTACTAATCTCCGCTAATCGATTCGTGTCGGCACGCCAAAGCATGTGATCCAATCCGCAAACAAATGTCGAGCCACTGTTTCGGCGTGATGTCGCAAATCGGAATTGCTTCTGACCATGTTGTAAACCTATATATATTATTGTTAGACAGTATCTTTTTCCTTTTGAGCAAGGAAGAGGTCCCATAATGTATATATACTCGAAGCGTCTTAACGGTAACTGGAAGTTTCCTATTGGTACGGCGTTCTGTCTGGTTTAGCTTTTTGGCATTGAATGCAAGTGCCCATGTCTGGTAGTCCTTTTTTATCTGCGGCCAGACGTATCTCTGTGAGATTAACTTAGCCGTGGCTTTGGCCTCTGGATGTAACAATCCGTGTAAGTTTTGGAATTGTTCCATTACGTAAGGGTGTGATATTGATATACTTGTCGCGTGCGCGCACGGTTTTAAGTCAGTGGTATCTGTACTTTCGTGAGTTTTATCAACAGTTTCTTGAGTTCTTCGTCTATATCCTGGGCTCGTGCCAATTCTTCGAAACTCATGGCTGAGTGAACTGCTTCCACTCGTCCACTACTATGTCTTTCCTTGAGATGTGCTATATTCGTGATAAACTGGCTAAAGGTACTTAAGTGTCAAAAGTACTCAAGATGTCGAGCTTGTCTCGGGGAACTCTGTAACGACTGGTTGAGCGCACATGTCAGCGGTTTGTGATCGATATAGACTGTAAAATGCCGGCCTTCCAGTATATATATCGGTAGTATTTTATTGCTGTATAGATTGCCATCATATGGACTGTATTTTGTTCGCGCTTGACTGAGTTTTTTGCTCAGGAAGACTAATGGCTGCCATCCTTTTTGTTTCAAGACTGATCCTAATGTAGTGTCGGAAGCATCTGTTATGAGTATTAGTTCCGCTTCCGGATCAGAATGTGCAAGCAGAATTGCTCTTGAAAGGCTGTTTCTGCATCTAGAGAATGCGTTTTCTACTTCCGCCGTCCATTCAAACGAAATTTTGTCTTTTATCTTGGATTCTCCAAGTATGTCGTTTAGTAGTCTTGCTTGATTCTTTGCAGCTCCATGGATGAAACGTCTATAAAAGTTTATAGTCCCCAAAAATTGTCTTAGTTGCTTTATTGTTTTTGGTTTTGGAAAGTTTTTGCCCACTGAGAGCCTCCATTTTGTCCGGGAGTAGCTGTATATCTTCCGCAGGTATTTGACTTGATGTACTCCAAAAATGCATTTTGCCACATTTAATTGGATGCTGTAATTTTTTAGTCTCCTGAATATTTCTTTAAGGTGTTCCTTGTGTTCCTCTTCTGAGTTTGAGGCGATTAATATATCGTCGATATATTAATCGATATATGCATAGCAATAGTCGAGACCGTGTAGTACCTCGTTTATGAAACGCTGAAATGTCTGTGCGTTTCTTAATCAGAAGAGCATGTATAGATATGAATTCGAATAGATCGAATGGCGTAATAATAGCCGTCTTCGCTCTATCGTCTTCGTGTACTGGAATCTGATTGTATCCTCGGACCAAATCTAATATTGAGAAAAAAATTTCTTACCGTGTAGAATATGGACGGAATCTTTGATGTGTGGGATCGGAAATATTAAACCGGAATGGTTCTTGTGTTTAACTTGCGGTAGTCTCCGCATGGCCTCCATGTTCCCCTTTTCTTAGGTGCGAGATGTAACGGAGATGACCATGGGTCTCTTTGAAGGCTAAATTATTCCCTCTTGAAGAAGTAAGTTGAATTCCACCTTTGCTATTTGCTATAGTTTGTCTGGTGTTAGCTGTTTATCTCAACCTTCCAGTTGATCCTGAGTGATCTTGATATGATGCACCGTGGAGTATTTAACTATTCTCCTTGATTATGCGGACATTATGATTGATGAAAACTTGGCCAAAATATCGTGATATGACATTTCTTTAATAATGGTCTTCGCCGACTCTACTGAATTCACGGCAGGTGAGCCTTTTGCAGTGAGTTTCGTTTCTCCATCAATCAGCTTGTTCTTTACATCTGCTAACAGATGGCACTTCGCTAGGAAGTCTAAACCGATGATAGGCTGTCACATCGGCTATGACGAACCACCACGAGAAATCGCGACGTAACCCGAAGAGTCAAATTGTAGCCAATGTACCCGTATGTAGTGATCACGGATACGTTTGCTGCGTACAGCTGGTATGTTGCTGCTTTTTGTTTGCCTTGCATGTGCGTCCGTGGATAGATGCTTAAATCAGAGCCTATATCAATGAGGTACTTTATTTTAGACATACCATCTATCATGAACAAGCGGCTGGTAGTGGGGCTTGAGTCGCTAGCTGCCTTTAATAATTACCTTCCTTATTTTCCTGGAAGTTGCAGGATTTGATGCACTTCTTTGCTTCGGCTCCAAATTGTCGATGATAGTAATAAACATCCTTCTGGGGAGTGCTTCTGCTGCGGCTTTGGCTTCTATTCGCTCACATTTCTTTACTTTCGTAAGCTTTGTGGTTAGTGAGACGACTTGTTTTGTTAACTCTTGGAGTTGCATCTCCAAGGTTTTTGAAGTCGCTGCTTCCGCTATGATTGATGTGACAGCCACGACTGTCCTGCTTGCGACTTCGTCGATCCTGTCTGTTTGTTAGCCGGCCTTCGGTCTTGGTTGCTATGATGGCTTGCATTTGTGATGACAAGCGTTCCAACCACAGGGTGCAGAGTTGTTGATCAGACATGGTAGTGCCTGCCAGTGTTTGTAGGTAATGAAGAAACTGGAAAGATTTTCTATCCCCTAGTTCTTTGTACTCTAATAACTGCCTTATGCGCTGCTCTTGAGATGCTAAGAGCCTCTATATCAATGCTTGTTTCAACATGAGATATCTATCCTTGTCGGGTGTGAATTGGCTATCAGGTCCTTTACTTCACGAACGTACATCTAATTATGAGAATGCGTAGGCGTATTTAGTGGCGTTTTGCGTTATTCCACTGAACATGAATTTGCTCTTCTATTTGGGCGAACTGGAATTCAGGTTTCTCTCTAGCCAAAAAGGCAAAAACTTAATTGCGACCCGCTGTATGCTGGGGAGATTAATGACTGCTTCCCCGTCTGCTCCGTTTCCATCTTCCATCTTCGTAGATCATGTCAGGGTTTGGTAGTTATGATATATGGGAGCAGGTATGCTAGTATGTGTGCTCTAGATTCCAACTTATATCATCTTGACAAGGAGGATGTGATTGTGTGTGCGAACAAAATCCATGCTTGAGGAATTTGGGTCGAGCTCTGAGAAGGGCTCAACAGCGACGGTTGCTTGTCGCTAACGCCTGTGCCTGAGACCAGATCGTTCACTTCTTGAGTATGACCGGTGTTGCTCGGGCCATTCCAAAGGCTGAGGGACGTTGACATTAGATATCCTGGTGTGCGCTATTGATCTTGTCGTCTGCATTGCTCTGCGGTGTTCATCAGGTTGAAGGTGATGCGGTCCCGTTGGTCGAGTGCCCCATGATATCCGGGGACTGCTAACCTCGCTGGGTCGAACTCTATCTCGAGGACCGTTGGCGAATCGGGTGCTTTGAAGAGATCACTGACTGTTCGTCTTCTTCGTCTCTCGTCCGTTAAGGATGTTACTAAGTGATCCTTCTGGTCTCCTGATGTGCGTCCGAGAGGTGGTTATGCCGACCTCAGAGAGAATCGCTTAAGATGCGATTCTAGGATATGTCGCTTGAGAACTCTTGGAGTTCCAGCGACTGAGTGGAAAACCCAGAACCAGTGCTGCCAGACATACCCCGCACTCGCACATGCGCATTGTTTACAGCTTAGCGTGTAGCTTAGTGTTGTAGCCATTAAGTTAAAATAACGATGTGCCGTGTGGACCGCGAAGTCTGCGCGCCAAACCGGACAATAGGAGATCCTAAGGAATCCTAAGAGGAAAATAGAAATAAAGCAAAGTATTTTAGATCAGAAAATGAGTCAGGAAAAAGATATGTATTCGAAAATTTGTCTCAGAACTTGTCTCTCGTTCGTGGCCCTCTTTATATACCCACTCCACGGAATCTTGAGTACGAGTTCGTCGCTCGAATTTGTCGCCCTCTGGGGGCTGGCTAGCGCCGGGCGCGTGTCATTTGCTCGACCGCCACAGGTAGTATGCACATTGTAAATTGCACAATTTTTTTTTTTTTAAAGCAACTATGTCTCAACACAACAGCACCTGCAAAGTGTTAAAAAAAACGCTTATTAGGATTTACACTTTTTAGGATTTTCTTAATGTTTTGTATTTTGTAGGCGCTGTGTACTACTTGGGGCGTTTTCTTTATATCGTTTCATTAGTTTGTGCATGAAAGTAAAAAATGAATAGTTTACTAGACAAAGATACTTTCCAGTCCGATTAGATTGGAAAATAGCGATCTTCAATAGTGCTATAGCAAAATCTGTTCATTTTTTATGATTTTGTCTAGGGAAATTTGATCAATGAATCAAAAACTATAACATATTAGTTTAAGTCAATTTCACTGAAAATAAAAAAAAAATTAAGTAAAAAAAATCAAGTTTTTGTGTATGTGGGATCCTTTGCAAGATACTACACAAGAATTATAGAGAATACACTATTGTCTTTTAATAAGTAATTGTACATATTAATTTATTTTGATTAATATAAAAAAATATAAAATTAATTACATTTATTTAATATCGTAGAACAATTTAAAAAACTTGTCGATATATTTTACTATTTACATGTATTATCACCAATGGTGACATGCATAAAATGAATTTATTTTGACATACAATGCAAGGAAATAATTACGTATAGTTTTTCGCTTTTGATATCATAATAATATAACTGCAATAATCCAACATAACTGCTATATGAATAATTTTAATTCTCATTAAATGAAAAAAAAACATTGTTATACACCTCTTCCATGCGCTGAATCTATAACCGAACATGAAATGATAAATAAAGTATGAATTAGATAGCTTATATACGCAAGATCTTATGTCGAAATTAACAAGAAGTTTGTGTTACAAAAAACAAAAATAACTTTATTTTCAGTTACATACTGATTCCACAGCAATCATCAGTCAAAATAAAATCTCTATTACAACATTTGCTTATTGCAGTCTCGCCAAACGTAATTTTAACATTACACTGTTTGTCAAGTAAAATTGAATAAAATATATGAGATGTATTTGTATATGAGAATGGAACGTTATTAAAGTTACAATAAATGAATGTCTTTATTTATTTTACACTTCCTCGAAAGTAATAAATTATAACTTAATGTCATACAAACGTGCTGACTGAGTATATAGATAAAAAGAAAAAAAATTATCAAGATCTTTTTCTTTATGGAGGAAAATATAATTTTTTACAAAAAGTTCTATAGTATATCAAACAATTCTTTATTCTAAATCGATTATCATTAATTCTGGCGATTCGCTTGTACTACTAATGGAGCTGGTCTGCGATTTCTTTGGCGATGAAATGCCACTGGCTGGTTTCTTTGTACTTTGTGTTGGCGTGTTATCCTCATCGTCATCATCACTATCTGATATCAAATCGATAACGACAGCACGTTTCTTCTCCTTTGGTGCCGGAGGATTGCTTTCATCTGAACAAATAAACAAAACGTGTCGTATTATGTATAACGCTTATTGTTTAATGTAAAATAAAATAATATTGAAGAAATTGTATATATAGAGAGTGTCCCATTTTAATTGCCCCAAGTAAATCTCTTGAAAAATACATAAGATACAAACAAAATGTTTCAGATGAAAGTAAAATGATTTCAAAGGAAATTTTAGTTACATTGTTCTTCCTGGGTGGAGGCGTCAAAAAGATATGAAGGTCCTCTTCACTTTATTAAATAAAAATGATTTTTCTAATTATTTTACATATAAAAGTATTAAGGATAAAGATATCAAAAAACTAATAATTTACAAGATATTTTATACTTCATTCTATATATTGACATGAAATATTAAATATCTTGTAAATTATGTATTAATTTTTTGATTATACCTTTTATGAACAGAATAATAAGAGGAATCGTGGTAAACGAATTGGGGTCAAGAAAATATAGTTGCTTTAAAATATACATATAAGCAAAATGGATAATTTTGTTATCCAAATAAATAAGCAACTATGTATTTTCTTTATGCCAATTGATTCGTCCCATTATTCTGTTGTCTTAGGTAAAGATCTTTATAAATAATACAGAACCAAAGTACAAATATACAGTACAAATATCAGAATTTCAGAAAAATAAATAGAAAATATAAAATATAATATATAAAATCTATAAAATGTAATACCACTTAGATTACAAAAAATTTTATTTTTATTTTATATTTAATTATTCTCTTACTCTATAAAGAATTTATTCATATCAATAATGCCGCAAATTCAATAGTCCCGTGTTGCTAGTCCATCGGGCGCCTCCCCTGGTGGCGCACTGGGGAATGCTCACCGACTTACCGGAGGGTATCGGCGAAATAAAATAAGGGGTGGACCAAAATTAGCAACAAAACTTAACAATAAAGAAAACAATCGGCAGAATCTATCCCAGGTGGTATTCCAAGCAATAACTCGAGCAATCCACTTTCTTCGGAGATTGGCCGCAAGGATTCTGGAGGGAGAGGCCAATCATTGCTTTCCAATAATAATATGAATCAGAAACCTAACAACTATGATGGCAATAATGATCAAAATGAGCAGGATTCTACTCCATCCAACCATACACTTTACACTTCATTTAGTCTCGCGAAAAAGCGTCTTGTCCAAAAGACAACGTTTTTCATCTTTTAGTGGCTTTACAGACATCAACCAATTAGTAGAGGAAGGTCAACAAACATCAGAAAAAAATCACATGAACACAAATACAGATCGTCAGGATAATACTATTACTAATAGTAACTGGAAGAAAGTTAAAAAGAAAAGGTAGCGCGATCCTGAAACAATGACAAGGAACTTCAAACAGATAAAACTCAATAATTACTGACTCAGCAATCCAGTACTACATTCAATCAAACTACATTAGATCAAACATGAAACAATCTTCTATCATTGAAAATCGATGATGACATTATAGAAGCTGTGAAACATTTCAATAGCTGCATACAGCAATCAGCTTGGAACACCATTCTACATCATTTAACTCGTATTCAAATGACATAATATCTATGCACTCTCAGACAATAAGAGAAAAACGAAAAGCAAGGAAACGATGACAGCAAATCAGATTCCCCAGCGACAAGACTCGATTAAATTCAATCACAGCAAAGCTTAAATTATTATTACGCAATGATAAAAACCAGAGAATTCAAATATATCTTAGAAACTTAAATGCAACAGCAGCAATCGATAGAAAGCGACAGGGGAAACTAAAAAAAAAACGACCCATACTTACTCAACCACCTATTAGGAAAACTAATGGCGCAACACATCTCACTTAACTCCTTCCAAGGAGATACTAATAAAATGGAGGAAGTGATTATCTGAATCAAACTCATCAACTGGATTTATCTATAAGTTCTCAAAAAACAAAATATTTCAAATGATAAGCAAATTAAACTTACATAAAGCTCCTTACGATTTGATTACTGTTAAAATTATGAAGGAACTTCCCAAAGATGGTATTATCTATTTTATTTGACTCTACAGCGCAATAATAAGAAGAAGATTTATTTCTTAATAGAAAGTAGTCCAGGTAATGTAGTCATGATCCTCAAACCTGGAAAATGCCCTAACGATGTTAAATCGTATCATCCAATAAGTCTTTTTCCAATCCCTTCTAAAGTGTTGGAAATTCTCTTCCTAAAAAGACTAATACCAATAATAGAGAAAAATCAGTTGATTCCAAACCACTAATTTGGCTTTAGGCAAAAGCACAGTACAATCGAGCAAATCTATAGATTTGTAGAAAAGATAAACTCAACATTTGAACAAAAAAAGTATTGTTCTGCAATGTTTCTTGATATATCACAAGCCTTCGACCGAATCTGGCAGATCTTTTATATAGACTTAAAGATCTTTTATATAGACTTAAAGATCTTTTATATAAGACTAAAAGTACGCTCCTAATAAACTATTATAATTTATTCAATCATATCTTAGCAACCGTAGCTTCTTTGTTAAGCAGAAAGCCTAGCAGAAAGTTAACCATGAAGTTACCAAACCTTACGAAATTCAAGCTGACGTTCCACGCTCTATAGGGTAGTGTTCTGGATCCTATCTTGTACCTTGTTTACACATTCGACCTTCCTCTCACCAAAGGCGTGATAACGACAATATTGCAGTCTTGACTATTGATGCTAATCCAGTTGAAGCTAGAGGCGTGCAATATGTCATAACTTCAGCTCAAGCTCGGTTGAAAAACTAGAAATTTGAATTCTATCAAGCTCGAGTTTCTGTCTAGTCTGAAGCTCGCTACGGCTTAAGATGTTTTGAATCGAGACAGTCGATATTTCTTGAAATCGATATTACAAAAACAATAGCAACGCATGAATATAAGATGTATTCAAAAAGATGTTATTACTATTATTAATGCTATTGACGCGTATTACAGTAGCGTGTTATATAAGAAAACTCTAATTACAGAATTTTTAATTAATTGTTTGATTAAAATATTGTAAAGAAAATAATAATTGTATTAGGTGTTGGAATTAATTCGTAGCGTTTTTTAATGAAAGAATGTTATTTATTTCACATGAGCATTAAAAAATACATTAATGAAAGTACTTCCCATCACTTGTAAAACGCTACGAATTAATTCCAACACCTAATAAATAAAAAGAGTATTCATTATATAACAATAAAATAATAATCTAATAAAACAATGTAATTTGAGTCACTTTGAGTCAATCATTTTGAAAAGATTTTGTTATCGAGATTTATTGTCTACTCAGTACAAGCTATTCAAAAATTCAATGCCTCATTCTGACGTTGATAACGCCCAATGTCAAATAGATATGATCAGTAATAGACCTTCTTAAACTCTACAACTTTTATCTAAAACATTTTTTCGTATCTTTTATAATTTTTGAAATATTTCGAAGTCAAAGTTAAAATGGGATACCCAGTAGTACATTTAGAGAGAAATTTTATTATCGCAGGATTCACTTGCGTGCGGGCGCGCGCGCGCGCGCGCGCATGTGTTTATGTAAGTTACATATTTATATGATGTCTTATTATTTAAAAAAAAAAGAGTATTATGAAAAAGCCTTTTCCCGAAGTGAGCAAAAATAAGATTTTTCCATAACATTCTTTTGATTTTAAGTAATATTGACTGTGTACTGTCTCGAGCCTAAATGACTCGAATTCGTATGGAACCTCTCGAGTCTAATAAGCTCGATGAGCTGAACTTAAGCTTTTTTCTTCTCCACTTCTTTGATTTGTCCCCATTCCTCCTAGTAAACATCAAGAAATATAGAAAGTCATCAGTCTGAGAAATATAGAACTATCGAGCTCGAGCCCGAGTTGAAGATGTTTTGCAGATCTCTAGTTGAGACATCCACTAAACTACAGAGAAATCTCGACACATATCAAAATGGTTCAAAAATTAACGGGTCAAAGCTAATGAATTAAAATCTATACACGTGACGTTTACCTAGACGAGAAACTTGTCCAACTGTGAATCTTAATGGTATACAAATTCCTCAAGCTAATGAAGCCAAAAATATCTCTACCCAGATAGACGACTCACTTGGCAAAAACATATCTTTACTAGAGGAAAGCAATTATATCTATCTGGAGCTATGGAGTGCAATTATGAGGTACAATTGCCAATTCGAATATTAAGATCCTGCAACGCCAAAATACGAATGATCACCAACTCACCGTGGTATATAACTAACAATAGACTCCACCATGATCTCAACATTCTCATCTAAGTCAAAGAAGAAATGTAAATCAGAATCAAAACATACAAAACACGTATTCAGGCCCATCCTAATGCACAATCACAACTGATTAATCCCAGAAAAATATTTTATAGATTGAAAAAAAGGCCTTGCAAGATCTAATTAGAAGTATATATTATGTAATAAGAAGTAATATATAGAAGTAATATATTCGTATTGACTCAACTACTTCTAAATGTCTACCTAGACAGATCGCACTACTTATTAAAAAAAAAAAAAAAGTCAACAGTATGTATATATCTTCAATTAAATTGTTATAAATTTCAAAGATTTAGCTTTTTATTTAGAGTACTATTGAGTGATACTATAAAGTATAGTGTATTTGAAATCTTTTAAGCTTTTGCAATATTCCATCAAGTATTTTCCTCTCACCTAAATCGACTGTGTCTACATCAATTTTATTATCTCGTGAATCAGTCGCAGTCTTTGTTTCGCTTTTTTCCTTATCTTTATCCTTATCTTTATCTTTTTCTTTTTTCAATACTAAATTCTCCCACGAACCATCTTGCAATAATTGAATCTCATTTACGTCTGGCAATAACTTATTTGAATTAAGAACTTCTTGAAAGTATCCATCAATTACAAGATTATCATAAAGCGCCGCCTTGTCACAAACTGGACAATTCCAGGTAGGTTTTCGTTCATTCATTTGAAGGAATAAAGAAGCATCAAAACATTGCAAATGAGAACATGTCGATGCACGACATGGCGTACACATTCTCATTTTTCCTAGAGGACAAGCTAACGACACCCTCAGTGACGTTGTAGCTATTTCACTATCCGCATCTTCGTTTAATTTCTCCTTAACTGTAAAATAAATTATATTTCCGTCATAAAAAATTGTTTACTATTATTCTCATACTGTTTACAATCAAAAATTAATTGCTTACTTAATCCTCTGGTATAGTCGGAATGTCTTACACCTCTATTTTTTAATCTACTAAGTAATTCCGCGCTGGATAATTTTCTGACGAGGTATACTGCAATTGCGTATCGTCTACCATAATCAGCCGACCATGTAACACGAATCTCGTTTCCAACAGTAGGTGACAATTTCACTAAAGGACTAATATTGACAGGTCGTGGTGGTCTCTTTGGCTCTACACTTGGTTTATTAGTGGGTATAGGATTCTAAAAAAAAAATATTTATTACATTATTATTACATTATTTCTCAACATTTGTTATTTTCTAGAATAATTTAATTGTCATTACAAACAAAATCTTTTGTGCATTCATTGAGTAGCGAACTTAAAGGTTCTATTTATATTTAAACAAATTTATCTATTGTTTTAATTCAAATAAAACTTGTACTTATATGTATAATTTTGAAAAAAGATATGTATAAATTTGGTTTGACGTACCGGTAAAGGACATAATTTTCCATTAACTTTTACTGCAATGTTTGGAGGAAAATAATCTTCTTGCTCGCATGATGTTTCTTGTAAACAAAATCGCATTTGTACCTAATTATAATAAATTAAATGAGATTCATAAACCTACTAATAACATAATAAAACATTTTTTAATAATTCTTTAAGTTTTTTTTTATTATAAAGATTTAAAGTTCTATATTCTATACATTAAATCTTAACATACCTGTACAACATAGTCCATTTTACTGCCAGCTCGACAATCACGTGAGCTTGCAATATCTGTCGCTTGTTGTGGTGTCAAATGAAACAGGAATGTGTTTTCCTGCAGCCTCAGCGTTCCCTGTGGCATTAAACTAGAAGGTTTCAATAATTCACCTAATAAGTCAAAAAATGGAAGTTTCTTCAACCTAACATCTGGATGAACTGGATATTGGCTTGTAGGTTGTATTTGTAATGGACCTGGTAAAACTTTAGCTGGGTATACAGACTGCTGATATGGACTATATGTACTTGTAGTACGCTGAAAAAAACATTTAAAATAAAATTATTTAAAAAAACGGCTCCTCGATATCTAAATAAAGAAAATAAAATACAATAAACATATAAGGCAATTGAGGATAATAGCATTAATTAATATGCAATAATATTTCCAGTAAAAATAAATATGTATTTATTCATAATATGCATTTACTTCATATTTTGTACTCCACACAAAAAAATCAAACGTTTCAGCTTCATTTAAGCTATACTCAATGATTAAAAACATTGTGTTTACAAGCGCTTAATGATCTATAGTTTGTACGATAAATATCTTTATTTAACCTACAGGATAAACAAAATCTAGAAATGAAAATGACCAAATTTTACGGTAATTTATTCGGTAAATTACGGTAAATTAGTCAATAATTTTTGGAGGCTGATAAAATGGTAATTTTAAAAAAATTATAAAAATAAAATAATTTGATATAAAAGCATTTAGCCTTCAGTTATTAAATTCAAAACGCTTTATTTTAACTAATATTTTCATTTTGATATTACACATTGATATACAATATAATATTGTATATCTTATGTAATATTAATTCTTTTAATTATTATATATTAAATACATGACAATTAAAAGACATACAATCTAAACTAAAGAAACTTCAAACAAGTTTTTTTATTAGAATTCTAAAAAATGAAACAAATAAAATTAAATTATTTTGTACATATTTTGATTTTTTTTAATTGTATTTTTATATTTTTTACTTTACAATTAATCTATAAAACTTCCATTTATTTATTTGCTATTTTAGTTACTAGACTGTTAAAATTTTTATTAACGTAAAAACAAAGATACAGTACATCAAAAATAAAATAATGTTTCTATAATTGTATCTATTGCCGGAATATCTAAATAGAATAATTTTAAATAATTTAGTAAAAAGTTAGATTTTAAAATATAAAACAAAGAATTATGTAAAAAAGTACTGGAATTTTTAATCTGCATCACTTTCTTTTTTTGTATATATAAATCTCTAGGGAACCATATATTGAAAACGGATTTTAGCATTGATTAGATTTTACGTTTACATTTAGTGAAGTATTATTATTATTCTATCAGCGATTTATATTCTCGATAAGAATATTAAAAGAATATTGTTTTATATTATGTATTAATGTGAAACATAAATAAAACCTACTTGTGCACAAAACCATAAAAAAACAATTTTATCAAAATTACCAATAAATTACCGTAACATTTTATCCTAATTTTACCGTAATTGTCAAATTTAATTTGACGGTAATTTTACATCTCTAACTGGACATCTATTGTATAGGTCGCGGACTAAGGGCACGGTATGCAAACGCAGTCATAGATTATTTCTCATTCCTATCGATAAGCAATCTTCTTAAGGCTTCTGAGTAGTCAGCATGCGATTCAAAATCAGTTGGTGGCCTGGCGAAATTGGTAGTCACACACACAAGCACGAGCCCATATACATGTGCTTTCAGCACGCCGAAAGCGAGCACATGTACATAGACTCGTGCTTGTGTGTATGTTTGTTACAATGCCTCGCCACGATAAATGGCTGAACTTTTAGACATGGAAAAGTGCCGTTTTCACGACGAAATTTTTGTTGCATGCCATTTCATTATTATTTGCTTAATTGTGAAAATGTAACGTGTCTCGTACTTATGAAAGTCTTAAAAATAGACAGAAACTATAGTTATCCTGGAATTTGATACGTAAAAGCATATATTTCATTCATTCAACAGCTGTTCAAACCGTGTGTTTCTGCCTGAAATTAGGCTCACTTTACTTGCCCTTTATAACTATTTACTGACTTACTATTAAAGGAGAAAAAGACAGTTTCTGCCCATTTTTACAGATATTTTAAAGCAATCTCGTCATTTAGATTTATCCAAATTGTCTTTATTTACAAATGGCTTGCAGCAAATTAACGTATCATTCCTCGCTTCTGACATCACGATTCCAACATGGCCGCCGCGACTACTCAGGAACCTTTCATAATTAAAGCAAGTTTCTCCAGCTACTAACTAAATATATGTAACAACAAAATTAGCAACATATCAGTTATCCTAGTAACTAATGAAGAAGCTCGCCTTAATCATGGAAGATTAAGAAGACTGCTTACTCATGTATACATTAAAATGAGAAATAATATGGAATCAATCCTTTTAATCGCTGAAAATAGCTTGAATGGTACAAAAACTTTTGATTTTTTGTGTGAAGTACGAAATATGAAGTATGTACAACTTTTATTGCAAATCTGATTATACATTAACGTAATTAACTGCGCCGTTACATTTAGTAGGTTTATATTAATGTTTGTCTATTTCAAATATTTCTAATATAATTCATAAATAGCAAAAAATAATCATAAATCTTTATTTCTTACGAATTGTATTATTGTAACAAGGAAATTCATTTCTAACATTAAATTTTCATGTACATTAAAGGAATAATATACTTTTACTTACCTGTGGTGTTACATTAGTGTAACCAGTTGACTGATATACTGGATTGGTTCTAGGTGCTTGAGGTAAGGATGCTTGATGTGCAGGAGTTAATTCTTTCCCAGCAGAAATTGATGCCTGTTGCTGTTGTTGTTGGCTAATTGCTTGCCTTAATAAAATATATATTTTCATTAGATATATTTTCATTTTTAAATGTATATACATAAATAAAAGCGTATCAATGAGCAATAAAAATACCTTGTTGAATAATAATTTCGATTATGCATATTTTGGTCAATTTGTGGCTCAGAGGAACTACCAGTTTGTCCATACATTTGATGCGTTGCCATTTGATCTGCCCTGAAAAAAGATTTCCTTTTGCAATTGGAACAACAAAAATAATCTAAAATGTATTTTTTCAGTATGAACTGATTTTTCTTTATTTCACTTATTAGCTGCATTTGGTTTTGCAAATCGAAGGCATCCATACTCATCCCACTTTTATTCACCAAATTCGGTAATAAATATAAGATTATTACAGAACAATTACAGATGCCTCTTTTGCATTCAGATTTGCAAAACTGAACTCAGCTACTCTGTTAATTTCTTTGGGAACATTGAAATATCCATATTGAAGTAACCAGAACTATGCATGTAACTTGTAAAAAAAGCAATGTACAGACTTTCCACTTGCAGTTTTCCACTTACTGTATCGTTTTATATAATTCACGTATTTTAAGCCGGATAGCTGGGTGTGATCTTAAGCGCAATAATTCCAATGCACGAGCTTGCAACTCGTTCTTTCTGCCGGATTTATTTCTACCGGCGAAACCAAGAAGCATCTGAAGCTCAGACACTCGAAAACTTAATACCATACTCTGCAATCAGAACATCCATTTCCCCTTATGTCCTCCTAGTATAATCTTTCACGAATGATGGTGACAAATTATAATGTATGTGTTGAAAACGTTACTACAAATCAACAAGTACTTCTTCTCAACAAAAATTGTCACAGAATGTATACATTAGAAATTTTTTTTTTGGTACTTTAAATAAGCCAATCACAAAAGAGTATCTCACTGTGCACATGTTCACTTGGGTATTTACAAAAATAATAGCTAGTGTCACAAAAATAACACGGCGTCACGCAAGTATTGCGACAGTCGCAGTGTCACGCGAACGAAATCCAAAATAACAATGTTCCATTCCATTCCAGCGAAACGTCGTAGGAAAACGAACGGTGAAGTTAGAGGTTACCCATTGTATCTCCACGCGCGAATACGTTGTGAACCGCCGGAGCCGCGGATCTCCCGAATTCCCAGGATTGTGCCCGTCGCCCCTGTCGGTGCCAGTAATGTCCCTGATCCAGCGTGAAGTAAATCCGCAGCGGTATCGCACTGCGTAATCGTTAACAGACACCAACTGTCCGACAACTCGCAGAACACGCGCCAACGAACCAAGTCGACCCGGCACGCACCGAGGGCGTGCATAGCACGAAGCACGCATCCACGGAATTAGGCACGGCACGGGGGCTGCAACACAGCGCGAAGGGACTGGACGGGATTAAAATGAGCTGGATGGTAGAAAATTAAACCGACTCTTTCAGCGACGCGAGCTCGGTTAATTTGCTGCAGAGAGGATCAATCGGATCATTTCCTTTCAGATAATCTCGGAAATCGACGCGCAATACCAGACGACGCGACGCGGAATCCTCACATGATAAGAAAGCCGTAGTATGTACAGCGTTTCTTTCGTGCAGCTGTGCACCTGCTCCCTTTATAACGCGCACCCACTCACCTCCAGTTCCTCGGAATCCGCCATCTTCTTGGCCGACTTTTTACCCGCAGCCGTTTTGCTGACGATTATTTCACAATTCGCGACTATGAAAAAACGCGCGACTACAACCGTCACGCCCGCCGGTCACTCTCGTCGCCGCGTCTGCCTCACACCCTATCCTATCACGCTGCACGCACTCTTCTCTCTCTCGCTCTTCGCCTTCGCCTTCGCCTATTCTCTTTCTCCCTCTTGGCTCTTTCTCTATATCTATCTTTCTCTCTTTCGAATCGTGAGCGATACTTCTTGCTAATAATGTTTCTAGAAGGAAGAGTCTGCTCATGTAAATACACACACAAAATAGCCTATATAAAATATCAAATCGCTGACGAATAAGAAGTTGCGCACAATGGAAGAAATATTAAAAAACAAAAATAAGTATTAAGATTTCAACCTATCAGAAATTGGTTACACTAGAATATTACATTTCCGATATGTTAAATATCTTAATATTTATTTTTATATACAATATTTCCTTTATTATGCATAGGACCTAAAGTTTTCGATTAGTCGCCGCGGCCATATTGAAATCGTGACGTCATAAGCGATAAATGATGCGTTGAAGTTTCTTACATACCATTAGCTGCTTTCAGCAGAACATAACAATTTTGCAACCATTTTCTGATTTCTCTGCTGAGATTGGACCATTTCTCTTGATCTAAAAGCATAATCCAATCAGCGCGAAGGACTTCCAACAGTTGCAAAATAAACGTTCTGGGTATTAATCATGAAACTTTATCCCTAGGATGGAAAATAAAAAAGTGAAAATTTTTAAAATCATTATAATTAATGGAGAAATTTTTCACTTTTCACTTTCCATCCTAGGAATAAAGTTTCATAATAGATATCCTGCTGAGCGCAGCCATTGGTAATAAACAGAATTTGAATAAAACAAAATGAGATTGCTTTAAAATTAGAGTCCTTATAAAAGAATCTGGACACTGATTCGCGCGCATGCCCGTCCGCCATTAAACTCAAAACCGGAAATGTTTGCCGCGCAATTCAAATGACTGCTTGCTGTTATACGCGACAAAAGTGTTGAATTCAAACTATTTAAATGATCCAAAATAAAAGATACAATACAGAATAAAATTGTACAAGTGAGTAAAAATATGTCTGATAGCGTATCAATATATACCTTGCAATCTATATAATGATATACGTAGGCTGCTGGAAAAGTTTCTGCAATCTAATACTTTCAATGGCGCCAACGTTCTGATACTATCATATCCGTAAAATTAGACGTTTTTAACCTATAATTCAGTTGACAATTTGTATCCAAGCCAACTAATTTTGTTTGCATAGTATTTTAAAAGAAGTTATTTTGTGAGAAAATAGAAATTTCGCGTGAAAAGTTCAGTAAAAAAAAACAGGTCTATGGATACCCCGGATGTAGATTACCAAACGACTTTTGGCTAATTGATGTTACTCTCTTTATACCCACTTTACGTATACATATGTATCCGCTGCGGCCTCCCCGATTCGCCCGGTCTACCGCCAAAGACGTCAACCAAATATAAGCACATGATATGACTACGATGCGACATGATATGACTACCTAGAGTGCGTTCCGATATTACACGCAAGCATTTGTAATCATTATTCTGTCTACGAGTACAGTCAACACGATGCTGCAAACGCTTTGAAGCGTTTTTTAACTGGTCAGTTTGTAAAATTCTTCTAATTGATCCATCAAATGCTTCAAAACATTTGTGGCGAGACTTTGACCACAGTCTTTATCATTTATTAGACATAAAATAAGAATAGAAGTACTGAAAAGCGCTGAAAGTGTCCAAATCGACCGCAGCCATAGTTTCAGCATTAGCAGTGAATTTCGGAACGCATCCCTATAAGGGATTCCCTATGACTGTCTAGCGCGAAGACTGCGGAGAGATATTTTCTTTCGCAGTTGATGTGCCAAGGAGCCTTATTCTTGAACAAATATCGCATATAAAAATAGCAATTCTGCATACAATCAACCAATCACAATCGAGAAACTATATTTTCATATGCGAAAATTATTCATATGTGCTCAAGAATGGGGTCCCAATAATGCTTGTAATAAATAACTTCCCGCAGTAACCTACGATAGTGGATGCCTGAGCAGTCTTCTCTCGTCGCGTGCCTATATTTAGCGATAAACTGTGCTATTTAGTGATTTTTAAGTTAATATATTAACTATTGGGTCATCTAAAAAGTATCCGCGGTTTTTAGATGACCCAATATTATGAGAAAATTGCAAAATAGAGAATTTTACAATTTAGTTTAATTTCAACTCACCACGAGGTGATCCCGTAGATCTGAGACATTTTGTAGTTTCATTTCGATCTTCATAAGTCTTTTATTTAATTGGAAATAACATATCATGTATCCAATGTAGCATATGCTATCATTAAAATAATAAGAAAGTTTCAACACAATCTTAGATTATCAGATTTATATTAAAATATCTTAACAAACTTATCTATTCCTATAAATACAGCAGTATAGTTTTAGCAAGTTGCAATTGGTTCTACTTTTCTTTACTCTCAACTTCTTTATACTTTCAAATCAATGTAATCTATAATCAATCGTTCCAGTTTCGTATTTTTATTTTAATCTCGCTGCACAATGGACGCAGTCCATTTATCCTGTGGCAAAATGCGACGTGATAGTAAAACAACCACTTGCTTTTCCGGAAAATACATCTTCCATCCTGAGGAAAAAAAATAAACTCGATTAACTTTTGCCATGCGGCGTCTAATGTGCAGGACTACATTCAAAAATTTCGTCCAGGTGTACTTAAATTTTATATTGAGTCATCTAAAAAGTATCCGCGGTTTTTTGTCACTAGATGTGTGTTGATGGTCATATATCTAGTGACAAAGTACCGCGGATACTTTTTAGATGACCCAATATTTGTTTAACATTCGGTAAATAAAATGATATACTAAATTCTTAAATGTATCTTAAGAGTCATATAGTCTTTTACATTTATTATGACATCGCATTTCAAATTAGTATTATATCGAAATAGTATCCTCAACTATACAATCGTATATTTTTTTTCTTTCTATTCTCACACTTAAATATAATCTATAGTCGCATTCGTGAGGGAATTTCGTCGTTTTAAGAAATCAGAACCTAAACAATTGTCTGGTTTGGATTTAATATTTTTATCGTAATCGATATCTATTGAATTCATGCATTTTTTTAATCTCGCTAAAATGTTAATCATTTTAGCAATACTCGAGCAACCAGTCTTCATCGCTGCATCTGTAGTAGTTATCGCGGTAATCATATTTCTTCACATCGCTTTATGCATAAGGGCGGCTCGCTGTAACCCTCACCTGGAACAATATTAGGGAGACACTAGGACATAGACAGTAAAATAGGGAATGGAAGAATTATTTTTACCGTTATTTTTTTATAATAATAATTTGATAGTGACGTTGTAATTTTTTATGACTATAATGATAATTAACTATATAAACGTTGAGGTTGTGCTAAAGGCTTAGGTTAAAAAAGTCATTTTTAACTTGTCCATTACGCGTTATTTACTGCAAAAAAAATAATAAGTAACTTGTAACGTGTATCGACAAATTACGTTTTATATATTAGTGACAAATAAAGTATGTAATTACTTACAAATAAAAAGTTTTTTTTTTTTTAGTAATGAGTGACCTTTCCAACTCTGATGTTACCATTATCGTCATAAAAAAGTCAATAACATCATTATTAAATTATTGTTATAAAGTAACAATGTTGTTATACATTTATTATATATTTATTATATATTTATTATAACAAATCAAGGATAAAAAATAAGGGCGTTACAAGTAACGAGTGTACTTTACTTTCCTTTCCTGCAGTATAACCAACACTAACAAGCCTCAATCACATATATATTTCATTATAATAAAAGATTATATTTCATTATAATATCGTTAAATCTATTACAGTAAAGAATATAAAGTAAAAAATAATGGTAGAAAATCGACATATAAAAAAAGGAAAGAAATAAATCAAAAGGATAAAAAAAATTTTAATAATAATAATATTAAAATTAATATCAAATCGAGAATATATGAATACATGAATATTGGAGTTTATAAATTACTATCAATTTGAAAATTTTTTTCTGTAATTTTATAGATTAAAGGATAAATATCTTTATTTTATTATTATTTAGCAGAATATTATTTTCTTTATAAATTAAATATTCTACATACTTCTACTGACATTAATTGACAAATTTATTTAATCTAAAATATTTTCTAACAAAAATTCATTTAATTATTTAAATATATGATACTGTAAATATACTGTGAATAATTATTTTATACAAAAGAAAACAAAACAATTACTGTAATATTTAATAATATAACATTAAAAAATTTAATTATATTTTTTAGAAATTTTATTATAGATATAATAATTAATATTGTACATATGATTAATACAGCACTTGATATATTTTAAATATTAATAACATAAAAATGTAATAATATGTATGTAATTTATGTGTGTCCCAAGAATTATTCTGATTTGAACAGTCGGAGCACAAGTCGTGATTATTCGAGATCGGTTATATGGTTGATGACATAACTTACGATTGCGTATAATGTTCCAAAGAATTTATCCTTCGATCGGATCATCTCAACATTGACCTAGAACGCATGTTTGCAACGCCTTGTTGAAGATCATTCCATCGTTGCATTCACGCAAGATCTTCAGATCGACTTTGCACTCGTAGTATTTCTTGCACTCGTACTCATGAGGCATATATTCACTTTCTGTGCATTGGGATGTAATTGGATTCGAAATCGGACTTGGAATTACTTGAAGGCAACTTGTACCTGGTTGACAAGTTTTCGTTGAAATATCAAAGTGCTTGCCAGGTGAACACTCAAATACAGCTTTGTAACCCTCTATGCATAAGTAATATTTAGTACATGTACATTCGTGTTCAAGTAGTTCGCCGTTTATACATCTCGGAGTTGTCGGGATCGGAGTCTGAGTTGTCGGGATCGGAGTCTGAGTTGTCGGGATTGGAGTCTGAGTTGTTGGGATCGGAGTCTGAGTTGTCGGGATCGGAGTTGGAGTTGTTATGAGACAATCCGAATGCTCCCGATTGACGCAACCCTGCCAGTATTGGCTAAAGTATAGACCAACCTTACAAGAGCGCGGTTCTTTCTTACTGTTTTTACACTCGTAATACTTAGTGCAATCCTTTTTGTCAGATATTAATTTCGGCGGACAACTGTCTGGAATTGGACATTCTGGGTCTATAAAACATTCCGAATGCTCCTGACTGACGCAACCCTGCCAGTATTGGCTAAAGTATAAACCGGCTTTACAAAAGCGTAGTTCCTTCTTACTGTTCTTGCACTCGTAATACTTAGTACAATCTTGTTTGATAGGTATTAATTTCGGTGGGCAATCATCTGTCGTTGGACACTGTTCACCACTGTCACCTGATGGACAATCCGAAACCTGCTGTTCGACGCAACCTTGCCATTTTTGACTAAAGTATAAACCGGCTCCGCAAGAACGTAAATGCTTCTGACCGTCTTTGCACTCATAATATTTATTGCATTCCTTTTCGTGAATTATTAATTTCGGCGGGCAAGTATCTGGTACTGGACATTCAAGATTTGGGACAGTCGGGGTCAAAGGTGAACATTCTGAAATTTCCGGTGTGACGCAACCAAACCATCTTTTGCTAAAGTACAGGCCGACTTTGCAAAAGCGTAATTGTTTCTGACCGTTTTTGCACTCGTAATATTTAGTGCAATCCGTTTCATGAAATATTAGTTTGGGCAGAGGGGAAATGTTTGACACTGGACATTCGTCTTCAGTTTCAAAAATAATAGGTAATTTACTCGCGGTGATTATGGTCCAAGATGCCAAAAAGGCGATGGTGAGTAGGCATATTCCTATATTAAACAATAAAATATCCTGATCAAAATTTAATTAATTATTATTGCAATTTTTATAAAATATCAATTATTTGTATATAATTTGTATATAATTTGGATTTAATGATCTAAATAATCTCATCACAATATATAAAACTCTCTCGATGATTTTATTACTGTAGTTTTAATTATAAAAATTTATCAATGCTCACCCTTCATCGTCTGTCACCTATTTTATTCTTAACGAAGAAAGATTATTTTAAAGAGAAGACAAATTTCGTATATATAAAATATCCTGTTATAACACCTCACTAATTAGTCAGTTGAATACATGACTGAATGAATTAAAGAGCGTCTTTTCTTTTATAATTCGCCACGTTATCATATGACACAAGGACAGATTATCATATCTGTTAAAAAACAGAGCCATCTTTATTTCTTTTGAACTGCAGATTCTCATGTATTCGCATAATGTATATATATATATATATTTGTACAGAGAGATCCAAAGGAAACAAAAGATTTAAAGTTATAATAATGTAACACATATATATGCGCAGATATCGCAAATAAATAATTTTCCGGTTAATAAATATCTTATAAAAATTACAATCTACATACATATACCTATATAATATATAAATGTATATGTATTTATAATATTTATATAAATTCTTTTTTATTGTATCTCATTAATTATGCAAAGTCATTGATTATTTTATCAATAAATCTTTTATCAATAATATCTTAAAAATATTTTGGCATTTTATTATATTAATATGCTTTAAATTATAAAATTTATTATAATTTTTTGTGTTATTTATCAAAAGGGTGTCAGGAGACTTTTAGTATCTCAGATAATCATATAGGAAAATGCCACAGTCTTGGAAAAATATATTTTTCATTGAAATCTGAAAGAGAGAATTATAAAAATTATTAGACAAAAGAATTATTGCTTTCATTAGACTACAGTAATGAAAAATTTTTACGTAAATATAAATTGATAGTAAGTTTTATGAGTTTATGTAAGGAAATGACAAACTATAATAATGGGAATTGGAATTTTTACATCAAAAATGTATTTAATGTTCTTATCGTTAAATTTGATTTCATCAAGAGCTGAGTGACTTATATTTATTATAGATAAAAAGATTTATGAGTATAGAAATAAAATATTAGTTAGAAATAAGATGTCAAGGTAATTCCTGATTAGATAGCGATTATAAAAAAAATGTTTTGATATTAAAATTTTTATCATTTTATGCTATGAAAAGATCATAGCATAAAATGATTCGCAATTTAATTGATTTGTCGAGATGTTCGTTAGAATAGGAATTTATTGTAGCCATAATTCAATACAATATTATATGGGTACAGTCATTATTTAAAATATTATAGCTTTTTAAGTTAAATGTTTATAAATAACTTCTAATTTAAATATTGTATTTATTTTTTTATTCTTATAGTAGCGGAAGAAGAGAAATATTAGAGTTTATTTTAAAACGTTGAGTTTATTATAATTTAAACTACAAAAATAAAATTGTTATCATAAACAACTAAAAGCTTTTTATCAAAATTATAAATAACTATGGTGCCAAGTTCATCGAATAATTTGATATAATCTTTCATTATCAATCGAGACCTTGAAATTTGAAAGTGGCGGTATCTCAATTAACCAATATTATCAAAGTACATATGTATGTAATATCTCATTATCAAAATATGTAATCAGTACTGATACAATATACGTGATATCAAAGAAATTTAAAAAATTAATTGCTTATAATTGAATTACACTGTTAGAAATATTGTTAAATTTCATTAACTTTTAAGTTACACAATTTGAACTTAATTTCAAGACATTACATTAAATTTAATGTATTTATAATTAAAAAGGATGTTTGTGTACATGTATATAAAATTTAATGTATTTTTTATGAAAATTTATGAAATTTAATTACTTTTTATAAAATTTTATTAAAAAGTACATTAAATTTCATAAATAATTTAATGTATACGTTTATTACATTTAAGTAACTACTGTAATTTAATTTTCAGTCAAATCATTACTTTTAATTTCATAACCACGAGCTTCATTTACATGTAAAGGAAATTCGTGGTTACATTTCTAACAGTGTAATTAAGAAAATAATGTCTTCTTAATTTAAAAATTTGTATTGCACTGTGGTGTTTGACTTGATTATTTCTTGTTATGTATATTACATTCTAATTACACTCTTCTATTTTCAATTCTACATTACAATAAATTTTTACCACAGTTATCATTATTGAGCTATTTGTATAGTATATCAATCGACAAAATCGGAGGGCATTCAAATTTTTGGAAGATTATCCGCTATTTGTAATTATTATTACAATACTATTATTTATATTTAAATAGAATTTTGAATTAGGTTAAAAATTTATCACAAATCATTTCTTTTATTTTTTTTCATTGTCCTAAATCTGTAGAGTTCTAAGAATTTTTAATAAGACAGAATGACAGTCGAATGACATATCAAAAACATCGAATCAGAATTTCGAACTTATCATGATAATCTAAATTCAGCGAGCAATTTGTACAGAAGACCTCTATACAGGGTGTATCTAAAATAACACCCACTAATATAGTGCTATTCCTAATAAAAAACTGAGTTGAAAAATTCTCTACCATTTTGCAATCTTCGCAACATCTTTCTTTTCGTTACTCAATGAGCAAAATGTCTAAAAAAAATCGATAAAACAACTTTAAAAGTTCTTTCTAAGAACTCGTCTTCAAAATATTTCACGAAAAACACTGAAAGATAATTAAAATTATCTTATATATCTATCGATTTATCCGTTTATTCGGTAAATAAACGGATTCGGTGTTTTTCTTAGAAAGAACTCTTAAGGATATCTTAAAGTTGTTTTATTGATTTTGTAGACATTTTCCTCATTGAGCAACTAAAGAAAGATGTTGAGAAGATTAAAAATGATAGAGAACTTTTCAACTCAGTTTTTTATTAGGAATAGTACTATATTAGTGGTATTATTTCAGATACACCTTGTATAGAGGTCTTCTATATAAATTGCTCGCTGAATCTTTAGAAATTAATATCTTGTTAATTACTGCAAAAATTGCACAATAATAGAAGACTTTTCGACTCAGTTTTTATTAGGAATAGCACCCCATACAGACTGTATCTGAAATAATCTTGTTAGCTATTGCGAAAATTGTAAAATGATAAAGGACTTTTCGACTCAGTTTTTGATTAGGAATAGCACTGCATGATTAGTGGGCGTTATTTAAGATACAGCCTGTATTTCTCTTATTAGTCTATTTCTTTATTCTTCAAAGCTAAATTTCTCTAAAGCCGACAATTATATGCATATTTCTAAAATAGTACTAATATAAACTGTACAACAGGATTCCTAAAGTTCAACAAAATTATAGAGAAACGTGGAGCTATGGAAGTCAGGCTCGATAATTTGTGTGTAAAATAAATATATTTTTGTGGGAAAAGTATTGATTAGGAGACCAAACTCCAATGATCTTAACATATGTTGTCAAGGCCATGATCCTGAGTGACCTCCAACCGTCGCTCGTCCTTCATTAAAAAGTTAACAAAAAAGTTTAAGAAATAACGTATACAATCCCTTTTCTACCATATAAAACATTTTCATTTTTTTGAAGTGAGATTTCACTCCAAGAATTTAGAGAATATAAATCCATTTAAAATGGATCATATTGTGAGTCACGTAATGCATATATTTTACTTAGGAAAAGCTCCCAGGTATCTCTTACCGATTTTAATGAAATTTGTTGGATTTGTAGATGGAATAAAAATATTCGATACATATTTTCTTTTATTGGCAATTAAACAAATTTGAGGAGTGAAATTATTCTTCGAAAAGTGGCTAAATTTTTATTTTTTAAATAACTTTTGAACAAAGCACACTCACATAATTTCGTAAATGTATAGAATATTAAAATCTAACGTTGTACGCCAAATTGCTTGAGTCGTCTTTTAAACATTAGTCTTTATAAAATCCCCGGTGTAGCATTGTGAAGAGCTATTCGCTAAGATTGTATTTGCACGTGATTTGAAAAGAAATGTTAGATAATGTAGGTGAGCATACCTGGTTAATTTTTATACGAATAGACAGCTTTTGAAATTCATCTGTACACTTTGTATATTAACGATATTACGTTATTATATTTTGTTCAGAAATTATAACCAAAAAACAATAAAAATTTGGCTGATTTACGAGGACTGATTTCACTCATTAAACATGTTTGGTTGCTGATAAAAAAATACGTATCAAATATTTTTATCCCTTCTACAAACCCACTAATTTCATTATAATCGGAGAGAGATATCTGGAAACCTTTTCTTGTTAGTGACTAATCAAGATATACATATATCAAAAAATCTCTTGATAACGATAAGAAAATATTATTTGTGTAATAGAAAATTTTTTAAATTAGTTTTTTGGATCCATTAAAGTTTGTTTCAAGTTTTTTATAGAATAACATATATAAATTTTTTTACACAAAATTGTCTAGAAGAGATTATTACAAATGTATCCTATCGTATACGTTTTTAAAATATTCTTTAATTATTGTACAATATATATTGACATCATAAATATCTTGACATTTATTAGTTAAATTACAAGTTACATTTATTGTAATTAATTACACAAACTTGCAAGGTTTTTTTAAAAGATATATATTAGTAGTTTTCCAAACAACACAAAGTTTAAATTGTCACATAAGACATCTTTAAGTCATCTTTTAGACGCAAAAAACATTTTATAACCCGATTTTTAACACTTTTTATTGTCTGAATTCCCGTCTATTTTTGCGCGTTAAATCCGAATGTGGCCATACAGAATTTACCTAGCGCATCAAGTTTTCGAGATAAATTGGATTTTGTATCAAAAAAATGTTTTTGGCCATTTTTATGACTGTATTAAAAAATTACCAAAACTTCATCAAAATTTTTATAATATATCATCATAAAATACTATTTTCTTTCCTTTCAAAATCCATTTTGAATCAGCAGCAATATTTTTTTTGCATATCATTTGCCCATCGCTAATTGGCTAATTTAAAATAATATAATCTCATTGATAAAGCAGTAAAAAAATACTAGGAATCGGTGTGAATGGTGTGTACACTCATGAACAAAAAGATAGCGACATTTTTTTTTCGATGACTTTCGGAATATGCAAAAATTTTCAGAGTGCGATTCATCATCTATCGATGTGTATGACGAGCGGTTATTATAGCTGTCAAAGGCCTAGTTTCCATCGAGGGTTTAAACCGGATCTGAATGTAAAAATCAACCAACTACA